CCCCCGCCTGCCCCCTGCTGGCACTGCCCGGGCACCGCCCGCCCTGCACTGCCCCTGCCAAGGCCGGGGCGACTCCCGGCCAACTTGGGGCCATCCCAGCCCTGCCAGGCTGCCACAGGGAGCTGCCCTCAACCCACAGCAAGGCATGCCTGCTGGCTCCCGACCCACTCTAAGCCAGAGGTTTGGAGAGGCCGTTTCTGCTCCTCACTCGTGGGAAGAGGACATGAAGAACTCGACCTCTGGCAGAGGATGGGGTTTGCCATTGCCCAGCCTCCAGCAGCTCATGGCAGCACGCCCTGGGAGGACACTGGCAAGGCAAGGTGTGGCACAGAAAACCTGTGCCTGGCTCACCCACCACCCACCCAAAGGTGCCACACAGGCTGGTCGCCCTCCCCTACAGCTCACTGCCCACCAGCTGCAGAAGACATTTCTGCTGGTCCTCCTGCTCCCGCAGCTATGGCAGGAAGGGATCCAAGGAACAGACAGCTGTATTGAAGACCACAGAACAAGGCAGGAGGAAAGGAAGCAGGTGATCAGAGCACTGCATGAAGGAGAGACTCAGGGATGAAGCCTCATCAAGGAAGAAGCAGAACCACAAGAAAGGACAAGTAGCATTAGCAACTTATTCTTCATTCACCCACCGAGAAACAGAAATAGGGTAATTTCTGGATGTATTTCTTTTGGAAATGAGCCAAACTGGCAACTAGAATCAAAGTCTTCAAAAAGTCTATACAAAGATGTATCATACAAAATGTACAGGAAAGTTCTCCAAAAACAACCAGATGGACAATACAACAGGAGGAGAGCAGAGACAGCGCGAAACCACAGCGAACAGGTCCTGCCCCTGCTCCCAGGGCAGGAGCCGCATGGGACAACACTTCAAACACACAATACATTACACTATGTACAGGGCCGTACACGGACCAGCATCCCCTCTGGTCTACACGGGAGCTCTCCAGCATGAGGTTGGGGCAGCTCAAACCATCTGCTCTTGGAAGTGTTACATGCCAAGAGTGGAAAAATGTCCAAGGGAATGAAATGGTCAACTCTAAACCATAACCGAAATGCAGCCGGGCCACCAAGGCTGCAGTTTAACAGTCAGCTGGGGCTAAAGGAGCGCTCTGCGGGGTTACTCCATCTCCGTGAAGCGAGCGAACATGGCTTTCCGCACCGCGTCTTTGTACGAGTCGGCCGTGGAGACGCCATAGGAGCTGCCCTTGGCTCCCAGGCCGGCTCCTCTCATCCGCACCTGGGCCTGCGAGGGAAGAGAGAGGCACTTCAGCTCTGCTGCAGGCAGCCCGACCGGCCCCGCTCCCAGCTCCAGCGTCCGACCGGAGCCGACGGCCGAGGCAGCTCTGCTGCAGAAGGCAGCTCCTTCCACAAGGGATCTTCAGCTGCAAGCGCTTCCAGTGAGAAAAAAGGACACCAAACCTTGGCTGTACTTACCTCAATGGGTGCTGTGATGCCCTGACACTTTCGCCCCAGGCCCGAGCCTTCCCGCCAGCCCATGGCCTGCAGCATCTTGTTGCCTATATTACTGTTGTCCAGGCCATCTTTGGTCGGCTGCTCGTAATTGCTGTAGGAAAGAGACAAGTTAAGCGCACTGCTCGGCGCGCGGGGGAGCTGGGAGCCGAGGCCGAGGCGCTTTCGGGTACGTACACCGTGCCAGCGTCATAGACCTTCTTGCGCTTCGGCTCCGGGGGCTCCGGGATGCCGTACTTCTCCCGCCTCTCAGCCGCTCTGTCTCTGTATTTCATCTGCACAAGGGAACCAGATTTAGTACTGATTTGAAGACACTTCTGCTCATCTTTAAGCTATCAGAAGTAAGCCAAATGCCTGCTGTTATAGAAAGCTGTCCACTGCAGCCTGCTAAAACGTGTCTCAACCAACACTGCCCAAGGGAGAACCTCAAACGCAGGCTGCTGGAGCACATCACACCCTTCACTGGGGTAGAAAGAGCCTAACCCAAACACCTGCTAGATTGGCCACAGACGGCCACTCTAAGGTTTCTGGTCCCAGCCTGGCAGCAGTGTGCTGGAGGTGGAAGGATGCTCCCTGGCTAAGCAGAAGCTGTGGGATCGGGGACACTTTCCTCCATGTAACAGGACAGCTCTGAACCTTGACCCAAGAAGGGGTTGGCTTACAAGGGTTATCTCGAGTGATGTGCACCAGGATAAGGAGAGCTCAACCCACCACCTGTGCAGTTTTCCATAGCTACTCATCTGCTCATCTGCACACTGACCTCTCTCTCACGCAGCTCCAAGGCTTCAAGCTCCTGCTCAGAAAGCTTTGATCTCCTGTAGATATCCATGTTTTGCTAAAACAAGAAATTCACAATAACACAAAATACACAACAACTCTTCCTACCTAAGCAGACGTTTTCTGACAGCAACAATGCACCTGCAACTGTTTTTTGCTTTAAAAGAAGAGTTTTCTGAACAGCAATATGCATCACAGCTATGGTTTGCACACAGCTATGGCAAGCAAGTACCTTATGCAAGTCAGACAGCTGCTGGTGCCGAATGAGAGCGTCTTTGTTTGGGAACTGCCTTCTACACAGCAGACATGCCATCTTCTTCCAGTCAGTCAGCTTCTCTTCCTCATTCTCCATTCTTTCCAGTAAGTCTTCATCATTATCGCTATCGCCACTGTAGGCAGCCACGAGGCCACGCTGGAAAAGCAAGACTGTGTTAAGGGGAGCACAGCAGTGTCACCACAATTCAGAGCAGAGCCCAGGAAGGGAACAGTGAGACTGTCGAGGAGTTTGTTGCACAGGACAGGCATCACTCTCCTCATTACTAGGGATGTGATGCAGCTCAAATGAACCGCTGTGCTACTGTGGCTGCAAGACTCAGCTACCACTAGCCAAACAACCGTTTCAGTAAAGAGTTTTTAGGAACCTCAAAACATCATCCAGATTCTTGATGCTAGAAGAAATCACAGCTTTTCTCAGCGCATCTCAGCCAACAGCCCTACAGCACTTCTGGACCGCTCTGACCACAACCTTTTACAGGTGATGCCATGGAAATTCAGGTTGCAAAGCAAGTATCTGTCAGAGCTCTGATGTGCTTTACCAGTGACCTTTAGTAATACCTCTGTGCAGCGCCTCATGCTCACCTTTAGCGGATTTTCATCGTCCCCATTTTTCAACACCTCTGGCAAGATCTGCTGTCTTTCAGAGAGCGCTCCCTGGATGAGACAAGAATGCCATGAGCTCCGAGCTCTCTCCCCACCACACCCCACTGCACACTGCTGCCAGCACCGTCACCTTTTTCTCAAAGAGGGCAAAGCCTGCATCTGCAGCTGCTGACTCTTTCCGCTCCTCCTCCCTGGTGCTCAGGGGCTGGAAGCTGTTCTTGAAGTTCTCTTTCTGCTTGTTCAGACTCTTTGCCCAGCGCTCCATGTCTTTTGCAATCTGAAAAAGAGTGGTTCGCTGAGACAGCTCCTTTCCCAGCAATCAGTCTCCCATGACACTCATTCAATCTTGCGTATGGTTTCCAGAACAAGTCAACCCACTACCTTTTATTTTTAAACCACAGGGCACTGGATGTAGCACAGCTGTTTCCCTGTATATGTTGTTCAAAGATACCGCAGCTTGCCCTTCTTACTGTACGAGCCCTCCTTCTCAACCCGGCCCTCTGAGCGCCAGCTCAGCTATACTCCCACTGGCGCTGGCACCATTCCATGTGCGTTCCTCCTGTGCAGAGCTTATTTCTGCACTGAAGCCTCACCAACTCCCCCTCTCCTCAGCCCTACGCGACGCCTGCAAACCACAGGCATGCTCCCCACCGAACAACCTGGGATCTCCCGTCATGAAAAAAAAAAAAGACAACTGTTATCCCATTCCACAGAAGGCTTTAGCCCAGTTATGACCCCATTTTATCTTTTACCTGTTGAGCTGTTTTGCTCTTAGGCTTCTCTTTCTTCTCCTTCACTTCTTTGGTGGTGGTTGTGGTAGCAGTTTGCTGGTAGGCAACCCCTTCTGCAGCAGGCATATAGGTCTCCTTCTCGCCATCCCAGTAAAGGTACTGCTGGGTTAAGGCATTGTAGTAATACTGCCAGAGAGAACAGGGAGTTGTGGTTAAACACCTCATACATGCCAAGCATCCAAGGGACAGCCCAAGCAAGCTGTCTGGCTCAGGCTACCGCATCAAACAGGAAGGTGTTTTGCAGAGTCCAAACAAGTTCTGCAGACTCCACTAAGGAGTCACCAGACATGAAGTGGCTGAAGCCTCTGTCCCCAAACACAGGTGTTCTGCCCAGCAACACTATGGAGAACCTTTTGCCTTGCCCAAGAGATGACCCACCAGAGCTCAGCGCTGGGGGCACTCTGCTGGGAACTCAGCAACAAAATAGCTTAATTACAGTGTCTGTGCCAAGTGCTAATCCTGTATGGGCCAAACTGAGAAAAATTAAGGAAAGGAGAAAAAAAAATGAAGGGCTATACCAGAGAGAAGTCAAGTCCCAGCCGTAGGCACGTTGCTCAGACTTATCTGCTACATTTGGCATTTTGTGTACCTCAGAAAGTTAATTTCACTTGCACGATGAGTGATAAGGACCTGATGGACCTTAACAGTTAAGACAGGTGGGAAGAACTTGTGTTTACCTGGGAATTAGGATCATAGTAGAGCCCTGTTATAGGATCATAATAATATCCTGAAGATTCATCATATTGGTAGGTGGAAGTATCAGGGACAGCTGTAAAAAAATTAAAGTGTGGGACACGGTCGTTCCAATCAAATTCAGACACGTATCTTTCTACATTTCAGGCAAAATTCTGAGATTATTCGCAGCCGCGACAGCAGACATGCCTGTAAAGGGCTCTTAACCACCCGTGCAGAATGCACTCTCCAGGGACAGCTTCACCACTGACACACGGCGGCAGAGCCCTCAGCCAAAGCAAAGTCTCTCTCTCGCTGTACAGAGACAGGCACCTGTCCCCAGAAGCGACGCCCCATCACTTACCATACTTGGTTCCAGGGACTACGCCAGTCGGGGGAGCCGTCTGTGCCTGAGTGCTGGTTGTAGGCGGTGCTGACTGTGTCTGAAAAACACCCAAAACCACCCAGGAACCTCAATGAGAAAAATCTGTCACTGAGGTGCAAGGAAACAAGGACAGCGAGCCAAGGTATGAACAGCCCACACCACACATCCAAGAGCTGGTTCTTCACCAGTACGCTTAGTGCTCACCTCCAACAGCGAGCAAAATGATTACAAAGAGAAATGGCAGATGACTTGTGACCACAAGCACCGTGACTAACCCGCGGACACTCAGCAGCTTTGCTGTACCACCCGCCTTAAAGAGCAAAGCCCACAGCTAAGCCAGATATCCCACAAACCCCGGTGCTGGAAGCAAGGAGTAACTAGTGCTGTAATTACCGGAGAATCAGGTGAGTTTGTCTGCTGATTATATAACTGGGGACTTTGGGACACAACTGCAGCTGTGGTGGTAGTGACCGGAGCTCCTGCCAACAGAGAGCAATGATGGATAAGCCAACCCATTTGTAGAGCAGTACTTCATCCTAGCGCTAAAATTACTTTTGTTTACAGTTTCAGCTCCTAATTCCAGCTCCAGCAGCCAAAGAAGGCAATAAATGTTCTAAAGGAGACAGATACACAGTGGGTATTTCCTACCCAGACAACAGGTAAGTTTCCTTTTCAGGAGGAAATACTCTGTTCCCAAAGTCAGGGATTCCTGGCCTCCAACAGCTGCTAGCGCTGAGGATTTGTCTAGAGCTGCTTACGCAGCCCTCAAGAGCTCAAAGATTCTGTCAACAGTCTGAAACAGATCCTGCTCTCTCATCTCATGGACTAGAGGCCCCACTTCAAGCGATCTGTTACGGTTCTCTGGTAACATGTACTCACCCAGACGTCCGGACAACAAAATGAGCCAACTCTCCCTTTACCCAGGAACTGACATAAAGTCTGAGGTAAAATACCACTGCTGCAAAATTATCACAACAAACAGGAGCATGCGCCCCATGTCAGAACCACTACCTGATATGGTAGCTGCATCTGTGTCCAACACTCCTCCTTGATTTTGGTAGTACTGCTGATAATCCTGGGAGTACTGTGAAGGGAAAAAGTGACAACACAAGATAAGCAGATGCCCAAATTACAACAGCCTACTGGTTACAGCACAATCGTCGCTACTAACCTGAGCATACTGCGTGTAGCCATCCTGTCCTGACTGGAGGTAGCTGTAGTCAAGGGTGCTGCCTTCTCCAGCCTGTGGCTGAAATTGGAGCAGGGGGAGTTTTGTCAGGGACAAATAAGTTACTGCAGTTAAGAATTTCAATGCTGCTTACACTCTAGCCTGTCAGAACAGATCCGTCACAGCAACTTTGGTCAGCTCAACCAAGCAAGTGGACAGCAGTAAAATGACGCACACTTCTCATTTTCAAGAAAGCAGGACTATGAGCAACAGCCTTCAAATCATACCTGAGTGGACGACCACTGAGCTGCAGCAATGGCTGTACTTGCCACAGAGAAGGCGCTGACTCTGTTACCGTCTGGGAGAAGCAAGTCCCTGTAACCACAAAAATCACGTATTTGAGTAAATACTGCTTTTTTTCTGAAGTCTCCTTGTGCAACGAAGTACAGCCTGCCCTCACGTGTGTACTTCTTGGCCATTATAAAACATTCTGATTACAATGAATGAGCCCAAGTACTGCCTGGCAAGTGAAGGAACTTTAGGTGCATTGTTGTACAGTCAGTAACAAATCATTAGGACTCCAAGAAAACAAGCATGTTGTGTACACGAGCAATGGAAACAGGGATGGTGGGAAATGCTGCTTTCATTCTCCTCACACCTGGGGAAGAGCAGAATGCATGCAACACAATGCACTTAAGGGAAGCAAAAATTTGGAGTGACAGTGATTTTAATAAAAACCTGGGCAGTAACAACCAATCTCTAACATAAACGTTGGTAGGAGACAAAAACCATAACAACTGCTCTCACAACTCACTTTCTGGCACTCTTTGCAAAGTCAACACCAATTGTTTTGCCGTCAATTTTTAATGGTGGCTGAAGGCTTTGCAAAATCTGCAGCAGTTGAGAAGCATCCTACAACAAGAAATACTCATTATTACAAAAAGCAGGTTACTGAGAAGGATTCAGAAGTTCCTAAAGCTCCAGCTTTTCACATACAATTGCTGAAAGCAGCTAAAGCAGTAATAACAGTTCCATCCTCTCATCCTATACACACACAGAAGAGCACAAAATGAGACTGATCACAACCCATGTGCAAATAATGCAAGTTTCCCTGGACCTCTCCTAAAGTTTCAGCTTTATAAAGCTGGTGTTTGTCCAAAATTGCCCCAAATTACCCTAAAAGGGTGGCCACCAAATACTGAGACCTGGCACCTGTTCTCACCCAACCAACTGTTCTACTGTGACTAAAGCAGGTCCCAACAGATTGTGTTGCTGAGTTTAGTACATGCAGGAAGAGAGGTTCCACTGGCTTTCAGGGACCCTGTACCAGAAGCTGACCTCCCTCACAGTTCAGAGGTTTTCCTTGTACCTCATGACAACTTCCCATGTTTCAACTGATGGCTGTTGCCTACCATCCCTGCAAGGACAATGTGCCTCTGCTGTCCCTACACCCTCCCACTGGATGCTGCAGAGAGCAGCAAGATCCCCCTCCCCAGGGTGGAAGCAGCCCAATTCCGTGGGCACCTTCTCCAATGTTATACGCCCCAGCCCTTAATTTTTGTGATCAAAATACAATCCCAGACCATTATTTTTGTGATCAGAGTGCGAAACCAGCCTTCAATCCAGAACAGCACTCTGCTGTAAAAATAGCTCTCCAATGTGCTCCCAACATCCTACCACCTTCTTTCCAAACTGCGGCTAAGGATGAAAAGCTTTGACATACTGCTAATTAACCTTTGGTGAACTAGGGCAGCCCTTCAGACAGCTCAAGGGCTCTAAAAGCTTCAGCTACAGAAGCACACTAACAAGCTGTTTCTCTCCAGCACATCAGCAAGGCACTCACCATGGCAGAAGACAGCTGCACAAACGCAAAGCCTCTGTTTTGCTGAGTCTGCTTGTCTTTGATTAGACGAATGTTATTGACTGCCAGAGATGCATATGGAGACAAGGCAGTCATGATGGACTCCACTACTGTGTGAGGAGCAATGTTTCGGAGAATGATGGCTGAGGAGAAAAAGTATGACATTAGCTAGGCATGTAACAGTTTTCCAGAGTACTACAAGCTCTTCACGGGGCAGCCTGAGGTACAGGAACGATCTGAGCACCCATGCTTACATTTCCCATTATACAGTAAGTCAAAGGTAACTTACTATCACAGTAATAATCCACAGACTGAACAGATTCTGCTGCTCCAGGTGGTACTTCCTGTTCTGAATCTTCACAAGGAGAGGAACATAAATTTTAGTCACAATATGGCTCATCCACTCAAGAATCAGCATTTCACAAGCCAGCCCAGTGAACCGTGCCTGCTACACAGGAGATATGTTCCCCACAAAAATCAAAAGCAGCCAGAAGAGATCAATGCAACGTACCAAATTTGTCCGCTCCACAGCGGAAGCATTTGAGCCTCCTTCTGAAGTTGTAAAGGCAGCACTAGGAGAAACAGGAGAAGACTAGTAAGAACTGGTGTAACTGGTAACAATGCTGGCATTTGCAGTACAGTAACAAACACTGGACATTCACACAAAGTAACACAACAAAGCTAAATCCAACAGAACAATAGAGAACTGCAAAGCCATCCTTGTCCATACCACAGCTGCTTTCCAGAACATCCCAGCAACCTCTTCCCCTGTCCTCCTCAATTATATTGTTATTTAACTGTGTGGTCTTCGACTTACAGTCTCAGGCATAAAAACTCCTTTAAAACCAGAGTTACAGTGAAACACAGGCTGGAAAACAAGTTATCTTTATCGGCAGAAAGCGTAGCTAAAGCCTGCCAGAACAGCCCGCTCCTCACCTCGGCTTACGGGGGCAGAACAAGGAGCACACAGCCCCTCACTATCCAATCTTTGTGGCTTCTGGGGCAACACCTCTGCCACTCTACTCTGCCACCACAGCTACAAAATCTTTTCATTCATGTGTCCTACTATTCCTGTGACGTCCAAGACCAGCAGCACGAGCGGGTCTGCATCGCGTGTTGCTCTGTTCAAACCCCTGAGCTGGCGGAGAGCATCAACATCAAGAGAAACTTGCCCTGCTAAAACCACACACTGTACCTTGTTGCAAAGCCAGTCCTCAAATTTGGGCCTGGGGTTGCTGTAGTGCATCGCAATCTGCTTCCCTTGAATCACCAGCTTTTTCTGAAAAAAAAGTGATTTCAATTATTCCTGTAACGAGGCACACATGTCCATTTTCCCATGGCAGAGCACCCTTCGGAGGAATCAGTGCTCCTGAATTACATGTACAACATATGGGGAGGATGTGGAGGACAACCACCGCCACCTACACCCTTCCCATCCAATCCTGCAGAGAGGAGGACGAGGGCAGTAAGAGAATGGGATGTGGAGCAAAGATAAACAAAATCAGGGAGTGTTGAAAAAGCTGCCAAACACTAAACGCTGACATGGAACCAGGAAGTGTCTCGAAGGAGACAAAGTCCTAACCTGCTGCATTCAGGATTAACACAGTTTTAGGAGTCTCTTTGCCCCCACATTTCTATTCAGTTGTGGTATAGCACTGAGCGACTTTTTAAACATGTCCTTAGGTGACTGCTTCACTTCTTCCCCTACTCCAAATACCCCAGACCTGTTAACAACCACATTTGGATTACTTTTCCAAGCACTTTCTTCACAAGTGTCCCTTTAAAAAATACGGTAATTCCTCCCAAAGGGACCCTGCTCAGACTTCTTGGAGGCTGGATTACAAGTGCCATCAACTGAAACGTAACTCAGAGTGGTTTCCTTTGACTAACGCATCAGTTCAATTGGAAGCCTGCACGAGAGGTTTGTGTTCTTCATTCAGGCAGGAACTCTCCAAAATGAGTAACTAGACTGCAAGTGAAACTTCTCCAGGGCCAGGAAAAGTTCATAACGCTTTCGGCACGTCCACTCACTCAGACTTTAGGGGAGTTAAGAATTTAGATTTAAGAAGCCTTGACTCTTGGCCTCACGCTTTGCCAAGCGTGGCTATGCAGAATGCCCTTTCAAAATGTGGCCATTAACACATGTCAGTCCAACGGGTGGTGGTACATCTGAGGAGGTGTGCGTTAGGCCAAACCCCAGACATTTTAACAGAACTATTTTTATAGCAGGCTGGCTTACTGCAGAAGTACCACAGCAGTGTCAGGACCAGTGGCTTTTCTGGTAACGGGGTCTGACATGGATCTAGCACGTAGCATGAACAAGGCTCTCATATTCTGCACAACTAGAGAGGGCAAAGCCATTTCTCCTACCGGCAGGAGGGAGGGTGGGAGGGCCCAGCAATCACTGGATATGCACACATAGAAACAAAGCTGCTGGCATAGCTGCAATGCATCGTTCTTTCATCTAACAGTCAGCAACCGGGCTGCTGGGGACAGGCTAAGTTTTCCCTACTACTAGGGTGGCTGGTTACCGGAGTGAATTTGAGTATATTTCAATAAATTATGCATCAGTACAGCTCTGTATATATTAAAATTATCTCACTTATGAAAATATGCTCAGTGTTAATTTCTTTATATGAATCCTTCCACTGCATCCACCAAACCTGATGAGCAGCAAGTCAAGAAAACAGAATCTAAAAGCTGCTCTCTGGCTGGGGAAACTGCCCATGGTATGGGGCATGTGAAACCCTACTCCAGCATAAGCCACATGGCAAATTCCACCTAAACCAACCACCTACGATCCCTATGATGGTGCCATTTCCTTATGCATACCACCACAGAGAGGAAGAGCACTCCTCACGCTGCCCAGGGACCTCCACAACAAATACTAGCTGTAAAAAACCACAGGGCTTGATACACTTTGGTCACTTTGAGAGTATTTTTAAGTTCTGCTGTTAAAACAGATTATGAATATTCAAAAAGGAGCAAAAGCTAGTGAAACCGTTTCCTGTGCAACAGGAAGATCTCACTGGAAAGGACATTAAAGGACTGTTACCTTATTTTGGCTCCTTATCAAGTCATGCTTCAAAAAAGCCAAAATACACAGCATGACATGCAAGAACTCATTCTCTACCCAATTTAGTTGGAACAAACATGCTTTGCCTCTGGAAGAGCCAGTTCATCCTCTTTAACTGGGGGAATACACTGAGGCAGCAAACTGACACTTCTTCAAGGTTAACGCTAATGTAAAGCGGAGATCTTGTGTCTCCTCTGGCAACAGAGAAGGACAAATCAAGTGGAAATAAGTCAGGATTTTATAAGGACTACTTGCTAAACCTTTACAAGCCAATCAAATCAAACCCAAGTAACTTAAAACAATGGCACATTTTACCAGGGAGTGCTCAAAACAGGCAATTTTCTCTCCTAATCTTACCTAACATTTTTGTCCTACTGTCATAAATTTTAATATATACAAAGCTTTTATTCTTTTAAATCACTGTTATGGAACAAACCACTCCTTCCACCCTTATTTTTTTCCTTTTTTTTTTTTTTTTTTTTTTAAACTGTACAGACTTGTTCCATTTTCAGGAATATCTAGACTTGGTGAGTGAAGCAACCTGATTGGCTTCCATCCAGCTGGTAGCATCTTGAAAGTGATAAAACTCCACGAAGGCGAAACCACGGCTTACACCTAGAGACAGCATTCAGATATAGACGGGATACTTGTGTTAGTCAGTTCCTTTAAAACAGGTGAATCTCTCTCCAACTGCTTCATTACTTCATGACAAAGCAGCTTTACAAATGCGACGTCAACTGCTGGGATCTGCTCGTTATTTTGCCATGGCAAGGAACCAAGCTCTCTTATCTGGCTACATTTCACTCGATTTGAATCCATGTTTAAAGGTAACCATGCAACAGACTACATACTATTAAAAGGGTTTATACTAGTATTACTTACCAATACCTGTTAACAAAAACCCCTGTAGACAGACTTCTTTTAACACGTTGACCAGCTATCTAAAAGTCTTCCAAAAAGCCACATTCCTTAGCCATGGCAAACCTTTTAGATTTTATATTGCATGTGCTTGCAGTTTGGGGACAATTCTGGATACTCTTTTGGGCTGGGGAAGAGGAAGGTGATGTCAAAAACTGGATTAAGAGCTCTCACCTGTCTTTCTTTTCATCAGCCTCACGTCTGCAGGCTGAGGACCTTCAAAGGACTCAATAAGCTCACGAATCTGTGAAATTTTAATCAGACAGTTAAACTTTCACATCTCGGCAGACAGGACAGTCACAGATGCAGAGGTAATAAACATTCTCAATGTTATCTCAGAGAAAAAGAAAACCTTTATGTAGAACTTAACAAGAGACTGATGAGCACCACAGAACCCACCTAGTCCTCTGCTACACTAAAACAATTGTCACCTTCACTCAGGCCACAGGATCACCCAGAATCTGAATTCCTATGATCCTGTGTTCCACAATTACCTGTGGAAGACTTGGCAAATACTGTGCTTGGTCAGAAGTTTTTATAATGCACACTGCCAACATCTCTCTCTCTGCGTATCTAAATACCCCAGCTCCCTACAAAGAAAACCATGAGGCTCCACAATGTGTGTCCTTAAGCCTCATGCTACAGTTTTCATTCTCTAACAGCTCCCCATCTGTTTTTTCAGGAGATAAAGCAGGTTTGTGAAGAACTTATCCAAGAAAAAGCTAGAGAAATCAGTTCTTCAGTCATAAGAAAGCTGCTTAAGTTGTGGCATAGGCTACATAATACATGGAAAGGCACGTAGTAAAAACAAACACCCTAATGAATTTTTTAATGTCAGAACAGGAGACCAAGGTAGGTTTTTCAGCAGCTCTTATACAATTCAAACTTCATTACATATGACAGGGCTGCTTGGCAGGCTCAAAACTGATCTAAAGCTGCTTGTTTACATGCTGACTAGAACAGGTATCTTGAGTTGCAGGTAACTTTTTTCCATTAAAAAAGTGGGGCAAAAAATAAAAGATGCACACAATCAGAAGTGTCAAAGAAATGTTAAGAAACCAACTAGCAGATGCATCATCTACACTCTAAAAATCAGTCCAGAATTTAACTTTGTCATAAATTATGCTAGTTATTTGTGCAACTGTAGAGCTACAACATTAATGCCTCAGAAATAAAAGCTGGTTTGCAATGTTCTCTGTAATGTCTGACCAAGGCATCTCATTTGAATACAAAAGCCTGCACTTTACCAAGCACTTAGAAAAATATCAGACGAGCACATGCTGATTAAAAACAATACTCAGTATTAGGAGGCTAGCGAATAATCAGAAAACAATCCCACTGCAGAAATGGTGCGAAAGGATTTTCTGTGTTAACAATCAACGCACAAAGATCTCGGAGGCAGAGGTGGAGCCTGCCTGAAAACAAACTGGAACAGCTCAGCTTTTATAGCACTCCCCCTCACCCCTCAAATAACAGTTGTGGGCTTATCTCTTGCTAACCAAATAATCCAGTATGAAAACAAACAAACAAAAAAAACCCACCCACACAACCACACAAAACCCACAAACCAAAACCTCAAAGCTGATCATCTTCAACAACTTTCTATTAAAAACATTAGATAACCACGTACAAAGCTCATCTACTTGCGTCAGCTCTGCAGCAGCCATTTTATGACTTCCACAGCCGCACAAAGCAGCTCTGTGTAGGGCCTTACTTCTGAGGAGTACGGCATAACCCCACCAGCCAGGGCCTCAGGCCTCAATAAAGACACGGAAAAATTCAAGTAAACACCCCCTTTCTGCCTCAATCCCCCAAACCAACAGAGCAAGCAGTTTAAAATTCCATTCTTAGGGAAAGCATCCAAACGCACATTAAAAAAAACTATTCACAGATTTCTTTGTTTTAAAGAAACTGGTTAACATTCAAATGACCTCTGTTACTTAACAGTGACAATTTAAAATCCTTTTAGCATTCAAAATGGCAGTTCAACCAAGCCGTTGGAGAGAGGGCAACCATGATGCAGCTTTCCACAAAATGGCAGCAGCGAGTACCACAGAGACCTGTCGCCACAAAGCCGCAGGCTCCCCAAAGGTGCAAGACAAGCAAAGCCCCTTTCTGGCTACTTACATCGTTCTCTGTAACCGTGATGGGAAGGCCACGTAACATGATGGTTTTGCTTTCTTTCTCATCGTTAATGTCATTCCTGTAGTCGTGCTCTCCATAGTCGCCATCGGAGTGGTATCCATCTTCAGATTTGTC